CCGCAAGAGTGGAAAGACACTTGGATGTCTCTTCTCCCGAAGATTGCCACCCCCACTCTGCCACGGCACCTGAGACCGCTTGGTATCTCTGAAATCTCAGGTCGGGCCGTTTGTGGTCTCATCCAGGCCAAGCTCAGACCCTTCGTCACCAACTTTCTGAGTCTCCATCCTCAATTCGCCTACTTGGCAGATCGATCCACTGATCAGGCTCTTCTTCGGGTGCTGGGTCACTGCCTTGAGGGTCAGGCCTATTGTGAACCTCCAAAGTATGATGTCTACCAGCAGAGATGTGCTGCAGTCATGCAAAGGTCGCAGGTTGCCTCTAGTGGCTCTTCCAAGCGTCGAGTTGGTGGCTCCATTCAGTTGTCACTGGACCTGTCGCAGGCCTTTGACAGGCTTGAATGGCCGTTAATACGGGAAGCCCTTCAACAGGCTTCGGTCTCCTCTGAGTTGTATGAGCTGATTGTTCTCTGGCATCGCGATCTGCACTACCATCTTCGTGTTTCCAATGAAGTTGCGCAGGTTGATGTGCAACGTGGCGTCCGACAAGGATGTCGTATTGCTCCGCTCCTATGGACATTAGCAACAGCTGTGGTGATGCGAAAGACGGACCAGGCTATTGAAACAAGCTGGACCTCCAGGCACTTGACAGCATTTGCTGACGACTTCCATTTAGGGGAGCATCTTCGTAAGGTCACTGATCTTGATCGGGCACTCTGGCGCTTCGGTTGCTTCCTTGATCAGCTTTTGGAGTCTCATCTCTTGATTAATGAACAAAAGTCAGCATTCCTGCTGCGCCTCACCCGAGGCTTTGCCCCCTCCTGGATCAAAAGTCATGTGCGCAAAGGATCGGAGGGACGGGTATTACACTTCTGCACTCCAGCTGGACGGTCCCTTGACATCCCTCCCAAGGAGGAACACGTTTATCTTGGCCTTACCATTTCATATCACCAGGCCGTGTCCCTATCAGTTGAGCACCGCATTGCTGCTGCATGGAGTGCTTGGACGAAACTGAGACCACTTCTTACCTCGGCCTCGGCTCCGGCACTGGATCTCAGACTTCGTCTCTGGCGAGCTTGCTTGCCTCCAACGCATCTTTACGGACTACACGCCCTACCCTTGAACTCCAGACAGTTAGGTCGGTTGCAGGCTGTTTACACACGGCAGTTGCGTGCAGTGTCCAGGTCACAATCGCATCTCACATATGAAAGTACATCAAAGCTGCACACAAGGCTTGGAGTACCTACTGTGCGTGACTCCCTCCTGCGCGCCCTGGAAAGCCTACGTGCGCGCACAGTTGTGGCGGTGGAGGTGGGACTGGAGTCTGCGCCCCTGGTTGACAAGTGTGATCTGCTAGCGCGTGACCTCCTTCTCATTCAGGATCCTGGATGTGCTTCCACCAATCGTGACTTCACCGCTGCTCCTGAGGACACCTCACACGCCACAGGAATGGTCGATTCAGATGTGCAGCTCTTCCCTTGTTCAGAGTGTGCTGCTGTTTTCACAGATCTGCGCACACTTCGGGTCCAC